AGTATCTATAAATAGAGTCTCAATGTAATAATGTAGATACAACAATTCGATAATATTCTTTTTTTATATTTCTCACAATTAACCAAACCTGGGTAAGAGTATTAAAGGCAAGCATTCAAGGGTATGGCCTAGTGGTCATTGAAATGTGTGAAAACCATTGAATGGGAGAATGGGAGAATTCTAGTAGAGACAAAAGATTCTAGATATTTCTTTCCCTCTTCCTAAGTTTTGGCAGGGACCCGGTACTTGTGTTGGTGAGGTGTAACAGGTACCCAGTAGAATAGTTGAGGTGTGCACAAGCTAGCCTCGACACCACCATTTTATTAGCTATAAGAATTACCTATGCAACTATCAGCTACTGTGTGGCATCTTCTGCTTCACTTGTCCATTCTTTTTCTCAATGCCATAAAGAATCTGTGCCCAACACTTCATCGATTTAGGAGTTCTTACACATTGCAGAATTAGTGAGATCACCAAATTGCATTTTAGCATTGAATGATTGGATAAGTAATTCTCATACCAATCATATTCTTCTTATTGTCCTAGTATGAAGTAACACATGTTAATAGACCGCAGGGATGTACATCAAGACAATGTTTTTGTACCAATATATGATAGACCGCAGGGATGTACATCCAGAGAATGTTTTTGTACCAATATATTATAGTTTAGGCCTCCTGGAGTTGCTTAATTCGTAATTTGAGAAGGACTAGGGAGAAATAATTCCCAACACCTATGGGCTTATTCTTCAATCTTGTCTGATTTCTGCCATCGCAAAACACTGGTTTTCTCACTGCAGGTCAGGCTTGGTCTATTGCTGGAGAATGGCCACGTAGAAACTAAAAGGCTTGGTAAGCATCAAGGTCGTGTACATAATCTTGCAGTGGAACCAGGGAGCCCCTACATATTGTATAGCTGCAGTGAAGATGGTTTTGTTCAACATGTAGGTTGCCACGTGCTGTTTTACCTGTAAAATGTTCTCTTCCTCAGATTATTTTGCTATAACTTGCATCTGTTCTGCAGTATGACCTGCGAAGCAATTCTGCCACAAAGATATTATGTTGCTCATCTTTCACGGAAAACAATAAGCAATCATCTAGCAGTGTTAGGTTGAACTCCATTGTGATAGATCCAAGAAATCCTAATTATTTTGCTGTTGGAGGTTCTGACGAATATGCACGTGTATATGACATCAGAATGTACCAAATGGATGCTTCTCATAATACAGATAGGCCTATCAACACATTTTGCCCCCATCACCTGATTGAAACACATGACGTTCACATCACAGCATTGGCTTACTCAAGCTCTAGTGAGTTGCTGGTCTCATACAATGACGAATTGATATATTTGTTTCAGAAGAACATGGGATTGGGTCCATCTCCCCTGTCTTCACAAGGTGAAGATGCAAAGAAATTGGACGAGCCACAAGTTTATTCTGGGCATAGAAATTCGAGAACTGTTAAAGGAGTGAGTTTTTTTGGTCCTGGTGATGAATATGTCATGAGTGGGTCTGATTGTGGTCGTATATTTATCTGGAAGAAAAAGGGTGCTAAGCTTGTTAGGTTGATGGTTGGTGATAGGCACATAGTAAATCAGCTTGCGCCCCATCCCTATATTCCTGTTCTTGCAACATGTGGAATAGAAAAGACCATAAAGCTTTGGACCCCATCATCAAAGAATGTTACTCCATTGCCTCGTGACGCCCAAAAGGTGCATATCTTAGCAGTTCTCTCAATAACTATTCATGTTTAGAATCGAAAGTCACAGTTGGTTCATGTAATCTATTATTGATTATTTTTTTGCTGCTGCACTGTCTTGCTGTGTGTTAGATAATGGAAGCTAACAAGCGAGGCCGAGAAGACCATTCACGGGCTACACTGACCCCAGATGTAATTATGCACGTCTTACGTATGCATAGGAGGCAAGCACTGGCTTATGTTGAAAGAAGACACACTAGAGGTGACATCGAGAGTGATGAAGATGATGAGGGAGAGGCCTATGTTTTAGGGTTTTCAGATGGTGATACTGAGGGTGCCTCTGAATGCAGCATTAGCTAAAGTCATATGTATCTTACCCGGGAACAACATACAGTTCACATCTGTATGAATAGCTTGTGTGCACCTTATAGCTGTAGTGCATCACATCTAAGTTTGAGAATTTGCTAGCTGCCTGCCTGTTCCCAATGTCAATAAATAAACAGTGTGTCATCTTCACTTGACCAAAGTTCAAAGTTTAGCATCAGCAAATTATCTCATATCTTAATTACTACAGGGGAATGGCTTCATTTGAAACTTGAAAGATTGCATATGCTCTACAATCTATCCATTTGGAGGTAAATATGTTATCCCATTGCAATTTGAAGGTGAGTATTAAAAACATTCAGTCATTCTTCTGTTTCCCATAGTAGGAAGATTTACGGATTTTACTTTTGCGGAAGCAGATCTCCAGCAACCACGACTCAACGAGGCAAATGAATTTTCTTTGTCTATAACCTTAAAATCCCTGAAATCTAACCATCATGTTATGGTAAAAAATCCTACACTTATATATTTATAGGTAAGGTTTAGGAGAAGGACAAACTAATGGGTTTTGAGTGGATTCAACCAAATAACTATTTTCAACACAATACTCGTTACAATGAAAACGAATTCCCCGTAGCTTCTATTTTTTTTAGGAAAATACTTTATTGCATTACTTTAAAATATGTTTCAGATGTCCATAAGATATCAGTTGCAACACAACATGGAAGGTAGAATCCAGAGAAATCCTATTTATACGTGAAATAGAAAATTTAATTAGCTAGATTATGAGCCCACATTCAAGCTAATATATATAATTTTAAATGGGAAAATCACTTACCTGTATACTTTTTAAAAAATATTTACTATATTTGTCAACATTATTTTTATAACCATATATGACAATTTGGCTGAATTAAATCAAATTCACTTTGTCCTTTCCATCTTTCGCTCCCAATTTTCTCTCGCCGCTACGATTTTCTCTCGTTGGTGCGATTTTCTCTCGCCACTTCTTACTCACAATTTTCTTCACAAATACGGCTATACTACCTTCAGAGATGTGAATTCAGTGCAGTTTTGAGACGAATCAAGTCGAGCAGAGAGTTGAATTTGAAGTTTTTTGAAGTTTGAAAGGTTAGAAGGTTTAAATTCGATTGCATGTCATTAGTTACTTGCTTAATTCAAGATTAATTCTCTTTCTCGGCTATACTAACCTTCAACGATGTGTATTCAGTGATCAATTTCGAGATGAATCAAGTTCGGGCAGAGAGTTGAGTTTGAA